TCTGTCTTGGGATTTTGGCATAAAGTCATCTCAGAAAGGCCCTCACTGACCACCAACCATGCTAATGCAGCCTCCGCCCCAATTACTCTCTGACTCAAAGCCATGCTCATTTCTTTCAAAATCCTCTTTTAACTAGCTCGTTTATTGATTTAACTTTTGTTTTCAGAGACAGGGTCTCACTCTCTTTCCCAGGCTGGAGTACAGTGGTGCGATCATAGCTTATTGCAACCCTGAATTCCTGGCCTTAAATAAGGGATCCTCTCACCTCAGCCTCCAGAGTAGTTAGAACTACACATATGGCTATTTTTTTTAATCTAAAATTTTTTAATATGTAATTTTTTAAATTTATTTTTTGTAGAGATAGGGATCTTGCTATGTTGCCCAGATGGGCCTGGAACTCCTGGCCTCAAACTCTCTTCCTACTTTGATTTCTCAAAGCACTGGGATTACAGGTGTGAGCCACTGTGTCCAGCCACTGATTTAAATACTTGAATGTAGATTTTCTTCCCAACCAGACCACAAGCCCCATAAGGTTAAAGCCAGGTCTGGACTGTCCAGTGTGGTTTCTCTACAGCCTTGAGTGGGGGCAGCCACAAAGCAGACTGGATTAGTTTTCCATTGCAACATAATAAATTGCCATAAACTTGGCAGCTTAAAGCAATGTGCTTTTATGATCTCACAGTTTCTGTGGATGAGAAGTCTGGGCATAGCTTAGCCAGGCTCTCTGATCAAGGTCTCAAAGGTGGCAATCAGAGTGTTGGCTGGGGCTGGGGTCTCATTTGAGTCTTGGCTCCTCTCCCATGCTCCTGTGTCGTTGAAAGAATTCATTTCCTTGTAGCTATAGAACTCACAGCAGCTTGCTTCTTCAAGGACAGTGGGAGAGCATGTCTCTGGCTTCAAATCTCTTCCTTCAAAAGCCTGAGATTCTCTTTTAAAGAGCTTACTTAATTAGGTCAGGCTCAACTAAGATAATCCCCCTTTGGATGAAGTCAGGGTCAACTGGTTAGGGACCTTAATTGCATCTGCAAAGTTCATCTCTGCCACATAATATAATCTAATCACAGGTGAAATCCCATCCTACCAGCAAGTCCCACCTACATGCAAAGAGAGGGTGTTACACAGGGTGTGTTTGCTGTGGGGATGGAGATCTTGTGGGCCATCTAGAAAATTCTGACTACAACAGTGGCTCTCAATACATTTGTTGAATGAATAAAACACCTGCCCTTCCAAATGCCTTCCTTGATTTAAGATATTTCCTTTGCCAGGAGTTCTTTCCATCTTGCTGCCAACTTTACTTGTCAAAATCTCATTTATCCTCTGGCTCAGATTTGCTTCTCGTTCATGACTTCCTCACTGTTTCAGGCAGGCAAAGGTTGGAATTTACCTTCCTCACTACATATGTGAGGCCAGATACTTTTTTAGTTGTAACATTCTTATATAGCAATACACATGTACATTTACATAAAAGAGATCACATGGTTCCTGTTGACAACTGTGGACACTTTTTTCTTCTCTGCCCTTCCCCTTCCATCTGCCCCTCCATTTCCAAATACAACTTGTATTAAATAAAAAAAAAAGCCCTATCTTTCCATGTTTTCCTTTGTATTCATATAATCCCATAACCCTACAAAGCTCATTTCTTTCTCTAGAACTCCTTTCTCTCTCTCTCTCTCTCTCTCTCTCTCTCTCTCACACACACACACACACACACACACACAAACACATATAAAAGGAACTTTTTTTAAGGGAGGATGAGTCATTGTTTTAGAAAAATGTTATCATATGATATACATTTTTCTGCATCTTGATTTTCTCACTCAATATCTCATAGAAATATCTTCAACTCCTCTTGCATAGCTCCAAATTAAAGTTAGTTCCTTACAACAGATGTGCATTATGTCATGGAGTGAATATACTCACAAAGTACTCAGCCATTACTCTGGTAATAGGAATTTGTTTTGCTTTTGGTTCTGCATCACTATGAACAATGCTGCGGTGAGTATCTTTGTACATTTTGGTAAAAATAGAATGAATCTTCAACAGTTCAAGAGCTGGGTGTATGCACTTTTAACAATTTTACTAAATGCTGCCAGATTGCCTTCAGAAGAGATTGCATATTCCATGTTTCTACTAGACTGTTGGAGAGTACATTTTCCCCACAGCCCAGCTGCAATGGTATTTATGGCACTTTTAAATTTTTGCCAGTGTGCTAGGCATAAAGCCATAACTCAGAGTTGAATATGAAATTTCTTGAATACTGAGGAATTCAAACATCTTTTCTTTTCCTTACTTGTTTTCCTTTACTTTCTTCTTTTTTTGCTTTTTCTTCCTTCCTCTCTCCTTCCCTCCCATCTTTCCTTATTTTTCTTTTTTAAACATTGAGACTTGCTCTTCAGGGAATGGTCTCTTTATAACCTTTGCCTCTTTCTGGTTAGTTTGTAAGAGTTCTCTGTATATAATAGAAATTAACCTTTATCTATCATTTACCTTACAATAATTTACAGATTTATAGTGCATATGTATATTTCATTTACATAATCTGGCAATGTACAAAATTTTAATATTCAAATATGCTAATTTTTTCTTTTATTGCTTCAAGATTTCCATTCTTGGTTTGTAAGATGTCCTTAACCTTTAGATTATATCTGTAGTATCCTAGATTTTCTTGCAAAATTTTAATTTTACTTTGTATAGTGAAGTCTTCAACTCATTAGAATTTAACTTCATAGAAGACATGAGATAGGGAGGCATTTTAATTTTAACCTTAATTTTATTGCAAATGGGAAACCAGTTGTTCTGGCATCATTTGCTAAAGAAGTCACCCTTTTCCTTTTCGAGTGAATTGCTGTCTTAAGTTACCTGGTGGTTTCTTGGGAGCTCAGCCAGCATGGTGAATGTTGGGTATAAGTTTTGTTTTCTCTCTAGCCAGCTTGAGTGAGCACAACATCCTAGGGTGTCTCTGCTTTGTTGGTTTACTCATTCATTTAACATTAGTTGGCATCTATTATGTCCTAGGCTGAAAAACATGCCCATTCTATGTCTTCTAGGTCTTTTTGGTTGAATACGAGATATAAGAAAAGTACAGGTCTTTGTCAACCAAGGAAAATAGTCCCTTAAAGTCAATTTACTGGAGACAGAGAGTCCAGATTTGAAAACAAAGAGTGGAAAACATGATTGAGACTTTATCTTGAATAGTCGAATGAAAAGTTTTAGAGGAAGCGTATTTTCTTTTTCTTTTTTTTTTTCTTTTTCTTTTCTTTTCTTTTTTTTTGATACTGAGTCTCACTCTGCCGCCCAGGCTGGAGGGCAGTGGAGCAATCTCGGCTCACTGCAAGCTCCGCCTCCCAGGTTCACGCCATTCTCCTGCCTCAGCCTCCCGAGTAGCTGGGACCACAGGCGCCCGCCACAACGCCTGACTAATTTTTTTTTGTATTTTTAGTAGAGACGGGGTTTTACCGTGTTAGCCAGGATGGTCTGGATCTCCTGACCTCGTGATCTTCCTGCCTCGGCCTCCCAAAGTGCTGGGATTACAGGCGTGAGCCACCACGCCCGGCCTATTTTCTTATATTTGACAAAATTGATGCTTTAATTGCAATGAAGGAGGCATTGATTTGGGCGTATCATTTTCCTATAAATTCCCTGCACTTCGTGTTTAACGTTCACAGCTCTATAAAAGTAATTCAGTTTTGCAGAATATTTCAGAGCTCATTCATTCCCCCAAAGGACTCAATTCTTTTGTACACAAATAATTCTCCTTTTAAGTACCCATCAGGTAGTGTGTCATTAACTGGTCTAATTGCCACGTCTTCATGTGCCCATGGCTTCATGAGCTGTTCTCACCAATTTCACTTCCATGAAATTCACAAAATCCCATACTCTTTGCAAGATTTGCATTTCCACTTGGCACTGTTTTTCATTTACTTGCATTATGTGCACAGATGTTTTCGTGTCACCCTCAGGAAGGCTGCCTCTGAGGACCTGTTGGGGTTGGCACAGGGGAGACAAGTGCAGCTGTGACTGCAGAGGTGGATTTTGGAGATGAATGTTATAAGTGGTCAGTTCATTAGTGAACTCTTTTGGATTGTGATGGCTTCATCTCTCTACGCAACTTTGTAATAACTGTGGGGACTCCATTCATAAAGATTTGGACCATGTGAATTCCTTTATACAAAAAACTATAATCTACAAAATGGGAGAGTAATATCGCTGGAACACTCTGGGAGTTCTGAGAGGGGAGATGTTACGGCTGGGTGGGAGGCTCATGGGGAACTGGTGACATGGGTTTGCAGGAGTGGCAGGAGTCAGCTAAGTGGTTCTTGTGGGATGAGTTGGCTTTGGCTGTGCGGAGGGCATTCCAGCTAAAGGGACCAGCATGAGCAGATGCAGAGAGGAAGACACAAAGAGCAACACATGGGTCTCCCTTCAAGGAAGGATTTGCTGTTGGGCTACGGTGGCATATGGTCAGCAGACAACCTCCAGCTGGCAGCTGGAACCACCTCTACCATTGTCAATGTCTCCCCCGGCCTGGCTTGCCCCCAGCTTCCTTTCACAAGGGTTGATACCTAAAAACAACTTCCACTGAAAACTCTATCTCAATCTCTGCTTCTGGAGACCCTAGGCCCAGGCAAGAGCAATGGGTTGGTGTGGGGGCTATGGTGGGGAATCCAGGTGGTCCAGCTCCAACAGCAGGAGTTCCTATCTGGTTCCAAGTTTTCATCATCAAGCCCATACGTTCCTCAGATTGAGGGGTTCCATGGTTGATGAAAAGTATCATGTGTCATGCTTTGGGAATTTTGATCTGATTTGCCTGTGACATCAGGAGTAGACTTTTATTTTTATTTTTAAATGCCTATTTCTGTGCCCAGCTCAGACCTTTAACTGATGTCCAGGTTCATGCATTCAGCTGTGGTTGGGCTCTCTCCATCTCAAATAGTTGTGGGTTTCCCTCATCGCCTCCTCCCTGCACCCCCACCTCCGTGATCGTGGCTCTTCCTCCCCAGGTGCACAGAGAGACATGGCCAGCTCCACTCCTCCCCTGGCACCCACCTTCTGACCGCTCAGCACCTCTGTCCATCTGCTGTCTACACGGACCGATTCCTGCACTCTGCCTCCCTGCCTGCTCCCGTCACATCCCTACCTGGCTGCTCTCGGAGGAGGATCACACCGCGGCCCTTCCTGGCCTCCTGCTCAGCCTCCACCACAGTCTATTCTGTTCAGCGATTCAGATCATCCATGTCCTGCACCAAGCCCGAGTCTCTAGCCTCGCTCTGTGCAGCCACAGCGTTTCCCAGGTAGACAAAAAAAAAAAAAGGTTTATAGCAGGAAGGGTTGTGTCCCTTGAGCTAAAACATGGGTAGGGACAGCCTGGCCCTTTCACTTAAGCCAAACCTTGGCCTGGTGGCCAGGCCTTGGAAAGCCGGTGGTGCTGTCTCGTCTGCTTCTTACACAGTTCATGGGACATGATTCTGGCAGGACCCTTCCCCATCAGGGAGCCCCACCCCTTGTTTCACAGTGAGGAGCAGAGGCCCCTGGGGGACTTGATGGCTGGGGTGTCTCCAGCGAGACGTGAGTAAATTAGCTAATTAAGGCAGCTCCACTGAATACATTCTACATGCAGGCAGTTTGTTGTTTGCTTCCCACATAGACAAAGAAATGAAAATAGGAACTAAATCAACATCTCAGAAAGAAAAATTACCTTTGATGAATGAATGATAATGAAAGATTTCTTGATTATTGAAAGTGTGTGAAATAGTTCTTACCCCAAGGTCAAAAAGTTAATAGCCCCCACCCAAACCAAAGTGTCCATCATTTGTTCAGGAAAGTATTTGTTCGGCACCTGCAACGTGCCAGGCATGTGGCTGGGCCTTATTGATGAAACAGTGGGGAAGTCAAATCAAAGGAGAACATTAATCAAATAGTCAAACAGATGACACAGATCAGAGCCCACCCACATTTCCTGGAGTCTGACATCTTGTGAGATTCTGGTAACAACAGGCCAGGAGGGAGGTGGATGCTGTTTGTGCAAAGAAGACAGTCAGTAGATGGGACTTGTTGGCAGTTGAACCCTCACAAGGTGATGCCTCTAATGTGTTTTAGATGCTCTCTTCTGAGGCTGGGTCATCCTTGGGGGTCCTGTCTTCCCCCTGCTCTCACCCCCATGGACAGTTCTGGACTAGGCAGGAATGACTGACCATCATGCCACAGTGGGGGCAGAAGAGATAAGGTTTGGGGCTGAGTGAACAGTCCAGGGAGTTGACAAGTGTCACTGGAGGAGGGGAGAAAGTGAGGGGGCGGATGGGGAAGAGGGTGGGGCCAGCTTCCTGCCAGCTGAGGGGGGTTCTGTGGTTCTCCCTGGCAGCTTGGATTCCCATGGACAGAGCTCGGGAGGCAGGTGGCCAGAGAACTCCCACCCTACCCCGTTCCTGTGGCACAGGGAGGATACCACATGGGTTGGGATGTGTTGCCTGAATCTGGGTGAAATACTGACCGTTCACTGTTTCTTCTTTGTGTGTGCCTGGATGGCAAAGGAGAGGTCTATTTTATTGCAAACTGTTGCACTCCTCTCTTCTGTGATGAGTGCATTCAACCAGAATGTCTGAGATCCGTGAACTACTTGGTAACCAACTACTCCCAATAAAATTGATCTAGTTCTTAGGACAATTCTTGGACACAGTGAAGATTCAGTAAATATCTGTGGACCCACTGAATGTGTGCCCTAGGACCCAGGCAGGGGCACTGTCAGGGGACAGTGCTGTTAGGAGATGGTGCTGAGGAGCCAGTGTGGTCTCAGCATAGGGGCTTTGGGACCCAGGGTCCCCTTCTAAGGAAGCAGGAGAAGAGGAGGCAGCTGGGGCCTGGATATTGGAGCCCATGCGGAGGGTGCCCCAAATTTGATAACAAGTGCCTCCTCTCAAAGTGAGGGCTGTGGGTGGGTGTGACTGCAGTGGTGTGTTGGTTAAAAAAGTTTTTAAAAGCTCTTTTGGAAAAACAAACCCCAACAACCCTGATTTGTAGCAATTGCCAATTTCTCTGGTGTAAATACTCCCATCGTGGCTGATTTCAAGCTGCCAAAGATGTAACCACCAATTAGCAAAGTTCCTGAACATTTCACAGTTGGCTCTCAGAGCAGCTGCCTGTACTCCACTGGGCATGAGGGACTGTCTGGTCCCTACCAGGGGTCTCACAGTGGATGTGGGGTGGGTGCACCACAGGGCAGTGGGTGAGCCTGTGTATACTGCTATGCAATGGGAAGCATTACTTGAATCACCCACAAAGTCCAACAGTGAGGACCTGGCAGATGTAGACCAATGAATAGTAAAGAAGGGGACCAGCAGGGATGAGGATGAGGCAGAATTTTCCAAAGGGAATGGAGACCCTGCCAGGAGGAAGAGAGGCTCCTGTGGAGGCTCTGGAGCCCTTGAGAATTTTTGAAAATTGACTCCTTTGATCGGGCTGCAAAACTCAAACCTGGGGGGAAAGAGGTTGACTGCGGCTGCAATTTTATCAAAAGAATTATGCGGAAAAATGAGAACTTGATTCATTCTTTGATTAAGAATTAGGGCACAGGCTGGGCATGGTGGCTCACGCCTGAATCCTAGCACTTTGGGAGGCTGAGGTGGGCAGAACATGAGATCAAGAGATGGAGACCACCCTGGCCAACATGGTAAAACCCTGTCTCTATTAAAAATACAAAAATTAGCTGGGCATGATGGCGTGTGCCTGTAGTCCCAGCTATTTGGGAGGCTGAGGCAAGAGAATCACTTGAACCTGGGAGGCGGAGACTACAGTGAGCCAAGATCATGCCACTGCACTCTAGCCTAGGGACAGAGTGAGATTGTCTCAAAAAAAAAAAAAAAAGAATTAGGACACATTTGTTTGCCGCTATAACCTAAATGTTTTTGAGTAGGAGAGAAAAACTTATTTTCACCAATTTAATTTAATCTTTTTTGATAAAGCTCTAGTTAAGCCTTTTTCTTTTCTTTTCTTTTCTTTTCTTTTCTTTTCTTTTCAGAAGAAGTGGTATGTGGCTGAGAGCAGGGGCCTTGGTGCAGACTGACCTGATCCAGTCCTGGTGATGCTGATTTCTACACAAGCAACCTTTCTCTGCCTCCGTGTCCTCATCTGCAAAACGGGGATGGTGATGCAGTAGTGCCTACTTTTTGGAGAGTAAATGATTTAATACCATGGAGTGCTGGGAACAGCGTTTGGCCTAAAGTGAGTCCAAGGTAAATGTTTGTTAACTAAATCACAAAGCATTTGTAGTGAAACTTTGGTACTCAATTTAATTGAATTTACCTTGAATGGGCTTTTTAGTTGTATGGGTTGCCCTCAGATAACAATGGCCTTGTTTCATTACACGTGATCCTGGATGGGAAGAAAAGGCACCACGGTGTGATGAGAGGGGCTTTGGGGGACCTGACATGGGCCAGGAGGTGATGGGGACACAGGAGAATCCCCCAAGGAGGTGACATTCATCTAAGACCTGACAGGTGATGAGGCTCCTGGAAGTAACTGGATGAGGATCAGGGTGGGGGTGGGGGAACATTCCAGGAGGAAGGGCCAGCATGTGCCAAGGCCCTGAGGTTCTGGGAAGCCTGATCTGTCCAAGGCCAGCAGAGAGGCCAGTGTGGCCATGACTGAGTGGACACAGTGATGAGTGGTGGGAGGTGGGATTGGAGGGGGACAGGGATCTGTGGGAGTTTGGACGCCATCCTGAGGGCCAAGGGCAGCCTCTGTGGTGTGATGGGTGATGGGTCCTATCTTTCCCTTTGGACATCCCCATGGGAAGGCCTCCTTGAGTAGGGCTGATCCTTTCCTCCTCATTCCCACCATGGCCTGTTTCACAGGTAACAACCTGGGTGGGAGGGGAGACCTCTGTTTTAGGGCTTTGGTCACATCTCAGGAGAAAATCTGAGAAGACTGATTTTCAGGAAATGCTTGGCCAGTAACTCTGCCATGGGAAACGGGGATCTGAGAGCCAGGTCAACAATGTGGTCTTGTACTCGTGACTGAACCAGAAGCAGGGCAGCCAGGAGAAGCCCCAGGACTAGACTGAGATACATGGGCCTATGCAGGGACCCGTCAAGGGGTCAGAATGCAGGCGTCTGGCTTTGGGAGCATCCAGCGAGAAGCAGCCCCAGCCAGGAAGTACAGATTTTACTGGAGCTGTAGGTTTTCATGAGGAACCTGGGGGTCACTCAGGCATCTCTCTGCAAATAGCTGCCTGCCCATGGTGAACATCTGGCAGCAGGGTCCTGGGGCTTCTCCTGGCTGCCCTGCCTCCAGTTCAGTACCAAGAACAGGATGGTGTCACTGACCTTGCTCTCATACCCCCGCTTCCCACAATAGAGTTCCCAGCCTGCGTGCAAAGTGCTAATAACCAGACTGTTGAAATTCCTCAGGGGTGAGCACAAGTCTCTCTGTTTCATCTGTGCCTATCGTGGATGCATTAACTATTTCATGAAGTAACACAAGTAGCATTTAGAGTAAAACAATTAACTAAAAATAGGTGAAACAGTGAAATTCAATGACAAGGATGCTCAAGAATAATTAAGAGGCCAACACAGGACTTCATTTCAAGGAGATTCTCACTCCTAACCCTGTTGCTTTTCCCTGCACGGCCCAGGCAAGACCAGATTTTCCAGCAGGAAGACCAGATTGTCTTAATTAAATATTATTTGTCAAGAAGGCAAGAGGTATTTGTGTTTCCTTGGGCTCCCATTGTTATAAACATTGCAACGTTTTTTCTGAAAAACCTTCTTTTCTGCTCTGAGGAGCTGATTGTTGCTGTTTTTCTCTCTTCCATTGTGAGGAGGAAATGCTACACGTTCTTTGTCAGGTAATCAATTATCCTCCTTAAAGGATCCCTGAAGTTGTCATCTGAAAATTATGGCTGTGAAAAATAATAAAATGCCCACTGTAACTTAATTGTTGCATGTCAGAGTGAGTTTCTCTCCCGCAGAGTCATAGAGCCTGTAAATCGCCTATGGTAATGACCTCTGGCTCCAAATGCAGTCACTGGTCTCTGCAAAGACAGACACTGTCTGTCACTTCTGCGGTGTCACTGTTGACACTGTGTCTCTTTTAGCTTCTGGGAAGTCCCGTAACGATCTTGCAGTTAGCAATGCATCCTTCCCTCTCTTCCAACTCCAATTGCTCTAATTTATGTCCCTTGACAACACTCACACTAAGCACACCATGTGTACCACTGTGTGGGGAAGGAAGTTCTCAGGTTCAAAATCTCAGGCAGATAAACAACACAACTTCAAGTTCACGGACATCCTAAGCAATCAACATCAACTACCCCACCAAGAAAGCAAGACCTTTTTATTGTTGGCAAGTAGCAGGTAATTGATCAGCTTGTCAGCATGATCTATGGTCCCTGATCTGTATCAATAGGAAATAAGAAACCATTTAAGAGGCATTAGGAAAACATGGCAGGCCCCCCCCCCTCCTCCTCCTCCCATTTGACATTGACTTATTCACGTGTGAAATTGACTCTTTGTGATGGTGAAGTGTTAAAGACCCTGTGTAGTCAAATTACTATCATGGAACCAGCGAGTGAAAACAGGTTACTAAATGTCCCTGGTTCCTCCTCATTCAAACAGGTAGAAGAAAACAAACAGAAGGTTTAGATGCAAATGTGCATTGATGCCCAGTTGTTCACGAGAAATGATATATACCAAGAAAGGGAAAGCTGGGTGGTGCCCAAAATAATTCAGGTTAAAAAGGCTTTTATCAGAAGATCAAAGACATCCAGGCACAGCTTGAAGATGCAGCCATAGTCGATCCATCATGTCTTCTTGTGAATGAACCTCAAGTTTCACGCCAACACAGAGACACACTAAGTGTCCCTGTGACATTCAGTGGAAATGCTGAAGCATCATTGAAATTCCTTGAGGCAAGGTTCACTTGTTCAGGTCCCAAGATCTTTTCTGAGAGCTGGACAGAAAAGGTCCAGCTCCTTCACTGGGCTTCAGTTCCCTTATTTAAAACTACACATTCCTTTGAACATTCCTTGTTTGTTGCCCAATGCGAGATAATGGAGAGGTGGTAGAAAAGTTGAACCTGTTTCTTCTGATGTTCCCAGAAGAAAAATCTTGATCTCAGGGCATCCTAAGAAGTGTCCTGGGGAGAATGTCCTTGATGTTATGAATGTATTGGGTAGGAATCACAGCCTCTAGTGGAAAGTCAAACTTTCAGACTCACCAAAAGTTCCAAAAAGAGGGCTCTGAAGTGCATGTGGGATCTTCATATGTCTTTTTGCAAGTACATTATTCATTCATTCCCAAGGCATTTGGCCATTCCACTGTAATTCACAGTTAGTTGGTTAATTGCTGCTGTAGACCCCAACATTCAGATATCCTTCTTCTTTGCAAGCAGAGCCCTGATTTTGCTGATATTGGGAAGCAATGTGCTCTCTAACACCAGGGAGTGGATTACCATTGGTCTGAGCCCATGGTGGCAATCTCATTTAATTTTAGTGATTGGCTTGTTGGGGGACATGTGAGTCAAGGCTAGTCAATGAGATATAATTTGGGAGTCTTTTGGTAGGGCCTTCTGGGCTCTCTAAGGGGATCCCCTGGGTTCTCTAATTTAAGGGAATCTCTTTTCTATCTTCTTTATTCTGGTCATGACTCTGAGTGGATGTCATGGCAGGTGAGATGGCAACCGTCTTGTCTCTATGAGGGCACAAGGCAGAGGAGAAAGCTGCCGCACAGAGGACAGGAGAGCAGAGCTACGGGGCATCAGCAGCAAGTGGCTAAGGTGACCAGCAGGGGACTTGTCGATGTGTGGCTCCCAGACTTTTCCTTATTGCTGTAAGCATTTTACTCTGAGAAGGACCAGCTCTTCCCACACTCCACTACTTCATCTATAAGCCGAGAGGTGCCTGGGAGTCCCTTGGCCTCCACATGAGGCCACCCCTTCCCTGGCCCACACCTCAATTGACAGGGAGTGATAGGAAGCCCCACAATGCTGCATGAGCCTGGAAAGACCCTCACATTTCTGCCCCTAAATACACACCTTCCTTAGCACATTTCACCCTGACAGCATGGAGTTAATCGCGGGATGCCTTCTATCCCTGTTGAAGTCCATCTCCTCCTGGATCCCAGGGCTCCTGGGTCATCCTGTATCTCCTGGACTCTCAGCTCCACATGACCCAGTGGGAAATGAGGCCAAAGTTCTATTTCTCTGGCCCTTCCTGCCCTGTTTCTGTGTCAGTTTCCTTTACAGCATTGTCACCGTCTGACTCAGTCTTTCCCAGGGATACTGGAGGAGATCATCTTAGCCCAGACCTCCTCACCCAGAGCCGAAGGTCAACCACAAGAGTCAGTGCCTTTGGGGTAGATGCAGTCCCAAGGGTCCAGGGTGGGGAAACAGGAAGCGAGGTGAGGAGGTTGGGAAGTGATGACTGAGCTGGTGACAGCCTCCCAGAGACCCAGCTGGTCACCAGGTCACGTAGACCATCTCCAGACAAGGTGTGCAGAAACACCCCATATGAGGATGGTTGGGAGGGGCCATTTATAGCTAATCTCTCTTTTCTCCTCTCCCTCAAGGGTCCAGGTTTGCTCTTCAGGGAGTCATCTCTTTCTTAACACCATCACCCATTCCCTTGGCGGCTGCTGGGGAAGCCAGATCCCACGCTCATCTTTGTGACACCTTAGCTGAATCCAGAATTGGTGGAGGATCCAGAATCTTGGGGAGTTGGTCTCAGGACATGTGTGGTGTAAGGCCTGAAATTGAGGTGCAATGTTAAGTATGGCCTTGATGTCTTTGAGCTTCACAGGGTTGCAGAGGCCTAACCACTAGTTTCCTTCCCTCACTGATATGCCCCCAGCTAGTTCCCTTCCCTCACCGATATGCCCCCAGCTCAGTGGGAAAGGCTCCCACCTGGCAGGTTCTCTGTCAACTGGAGCAGCCGCATTCTACCTGGTCCTCAGCTTAACTGCCTTCGCCTCCCTGCCCACAGGAACCAGGGGCACCTCATCCCCTGTTACTTCAAGGTTTGCTTCCCCCAGCCCCTCCTGTTCTCTCTGTTCCTAGGCGCACCTCCTGTGCCTCTGCAGGGTGCGTGTTGTCCTCCCCTGTGGGCTGTGAGTGTTTGTGACTGACCTGCTGCCCATCTCATCTGTCCAGCACTGGGTGTCGTGTGCTCAGCCATCTCATACTATCTAGGGTGAGGATGCCTCCCTCACCCACGGGGTGAGCAGGAGGCAGTTGGAACACAGTGGCATCCTGTGGACCTGCACTGAGTCAGTTCCTGCAGTAGAAGTTGGGGAAACCTGAGGTGACGCGCTGCACGGGTCTTATACACAGCCCGGATGGTTTGCATCTTACTTGCTTGCCAGTTTCTCTCTAGTGGAAAATATATTTCTTAAGGGCAGAAATTTGAGGCTGCGTTTTTCTGCTGCCACAACGGAAGTACCTGTAAGATTTCTGGCACATAGTAAGCCTTCAGTAAGTATCTATGGAATGAATAAATAAATAAACCAATGCATTCACTAAATAACCCTGGGTGGGAAAGAATGAAGATGTGATTATTAAGGCTAGGTGTATTAGGGCTGTCTAGAGAAACAGAACAGATAGGCTGGGTGTGGTGGCGCACGCCTGTAAACCCAGCACTTAGGGAGGCCAAGGTGGGTGGATCACTTGAGGTTAGGAGTTTGAGACCAGCCTGGCTAACATGGTGAAACCCTGTCTCTACTAAAAATACAAAAATTAGCCAGGTGTGGTGGCACATGCTTGTAATCCCAGCAACCCAGGAGGCTGAGGCAGGAGAATGGCTTGAACACAGGAGGCAGAGGTTGCAGTGAGCCAAGATTGTGCCATTGCACTCCAGTCTGGGTGACACAGTGAGACTCCCTCTCAAAAAAAAGAAAAAGAAAAAAAGAAAAAAAGCCAGGTGCGGTGGTTCATGCCTGTAATCCTAGCACTTCAGGAGGTCGAGGTGTGGATCATGAGGTCAAGAGATTGAGACCATCTTGGCCAACATGGTGAAACCCTGTCTGTAGTAAAAATACAAAAATTAGCTGGACTTGGTGGCACAAGCCTGTAGTCCCAGATACTCAGGAGGCTGAGACAGAAGAATTGCTTGAACTTGGGAGGTGGACGTTGCAATGAGCTGCGATCACGCCACTGCACTCCAGCCTGGCAACAGAGTAAGACTCCATCTCCAAAAAAAAAAAAAAAAAAAGAAAAAGAAACAGAACAGATGTCTATATCTATATCTATATTTATTATGAGAATGAGCCTATGTGATTATGGAGGCTGAGAAGTCTTGTGACTTCCCAGCTGCAATATGGAAAAACCAGGAAAGCTGGTGGTAGAATTCACTCCAAGTCCCAAGGTCTGAGAACCAGGAGAACCAGAAGCACTCGTGTCTGAGGTCAGGATAAGGTGGATATCCCAGCTTAAACAGAGTGTGAATTGGCCTTTCCTCTACTGGTTTGTTCTATTGTTTTATCCAGGCCCTGGATGAATGGAAGGATGAATGGAGGGGTATCAATCCACACTGGCGAGGGTGGAGCTTCCCTGCTCAGTCTACTGATTCAAATGCTCATCTCTTCCAAAAACATCCTCACAGAACTACCTAGCATAATGTTTTACCAGCTATCTGGGCATCCTGTAGTCTATTCATGTTGACATATAAAATTAACCACTACACTAGGTTATGTGGGAAAAGTTGTCAATATTTCATTCCTTTTTTGTGATCTTGAGGAAGACAATGTGGAGGGAGAACCTTCAGGTCTTCAGTGAACCACAGCTTCTCCCCACTCTCTGTTTCTCCCCAAAGTGGTGATGGAGTGGACAGGTGGATGGTGACAATCTTTCTTTCTCCTCTCCCTGTCCCTGCACTAACCCCAGCCTCCTCCCTCTGTCATGGGAACCAACTTTCATGGCTGCAGCCTTGGGTCCAACACTTTAGCCTGTTGCATTTCTTCCAACACTTAAGGTCAATGTTTTAGGGTAGGAATGAGTATGCAGTGCACCTGCCTGCTCTTCTGTGAGCTTTGGAGTAGCCTGAAAGAAGTGGGAGCCTCTCTGCTGAGCACATTTTCCATGCGGGGCAGCAAATTCTTCCTTAAAAGGGGATCAGTGCAGCACATCTCCATGTCTGCCACTGACTGGAGATGGTCCCCAGGAAGCTGAGGTCATGCAGAGGCTTGACCGCCAACCAGCTGTGTGTGAACACATCAGAACACTTTGCAATCTGTCTCTGGTCTATCAAATGGAGAGAACACTGAATTTCATTGATTCTAAGACGCACCTTTTTCCCATGTTAATATCTCTCTAGTCTGGTTATGTCACATAATTGATGGGATCTGATCACGTGTCAGAATTTAATTGTCAATGTTTTTTCTTTCTCAGTGGTACACAGTACAATGATGCATCATGCGGTCAATCTGGTGTTAGATGTGTGACCTGCAGGATCACTCCCATTGGCCAACCATTATGAAGGTCAGATGAGGCAACAGGGTGTGACAGGCCTTTGCAAATTATAAAATGCCCCACAGTCACTCATCCAGGCTCTACCTGGGGCAAATTCCTTAATAGCATTTTTCCTCCCCAGGTCTCATGTGCCTCATCCTTTCCCAAGTACGATGGACTGGACATGATGTTGATATTTGCTCTACTGGGTGATGGGTGGAGGTGATGTCTCCAGAAACCCAGGACCCAGGAGCACCACCAGGCCTCTGTGAACAGAGTTCAGATGCAATGGAGACAAAGCCCCTGGGTGAGATGGTCCCAGGCCTCCTTCCAGATCTGACATTCTAGGGCCCAGGAATGGTATTTCTCTGAGGTCTTGAGGGAGAGAGGCTGGTGAGGCTGGCACTGCACACCCCAAGCCACACTAATGCCCAGCCCCAAGCTCACTGCTCTGGGAGGTCTGCAGCAAGGGACACATCCTCACAGCTGCCGGCCTCTGTGTGGCTCATCAGGGCATGAGGGAAAGACCCCGTAGAGCCCAGCCGGAGGCATGATTGTCTTAAGGCAGGAGGCTGCTGCAGAAAGAATGGAAATCTCGGAGACGCCATGTCTAAGAAATGTCAGCAGCGAGAAGTGTATGTGCTGGCCGTGTCTGCACAGGGCAAATGGCAGCAAGTGCTGTGGTCCTGATATAGTCTTACAGGGAATCTAAAGGATGGGCCACAGGAGAATGGGAAGCCCAGCTGGGCGCCCGGGGCCAGCTGTGTCCACAAGACTCACTGTTCTGAGCTCTGGGCATCGAGTACAGTGCTGGAGCCACCACGGCGACCAAACCTGTGCAGATGACCCATCAGGGTCATCTGGAGGCATTTGCACCCATCAGCCTTAACTGCTAGCTTGCCACTCTCAGAACCTGTAGCTTTCACATTTCCTAAGTAAAAAATCACTTTTGTCATAAAAGAAATAAATATTCATTGTAAAAGCAAATAATCCCGAGTACTGCCTTGCCACATGTCACCTGGAGTTTAGATGCTGAAAGGTGGCGGCATGGACCTGCCTGTCACATGCGGAGATCCGTCAAGCATTTCTGCCCACACCTGCTCTATGAAGAGCTGAGCCATGAGCCCAGCATTCAAGGCTCCCTGTGTTCCCGGCCCAAGTGACAGATAAGGGGACAGAAATCATTTCCTGCTGCCGTGATCCACTTCCCCTCCCTGATGCTGCCTGACTTATTTTTGGGAATTCCCCTCCCATGTGGGACAGTTGCAGGAGGAGGGGATTGCTGGTAACATTTCCCTAGGGAAGCTGAGGGCGCAACCCTGCCTCCCGATGCGGGTTTCCTGAGGTATGAGCCCTGGCCTAAGTGACCCCTCACGTGCACTTTCCTGGGACTTTGAGTTTTGAGCAAGTGAGGGAAAGAAGCGGGGGGGATCCCTTGTCCCAGGGGTAGCATCCTGACCGTCCAGTTCTGGGTGGGGGCTGTCTCTTGGTGGATTCTGTGGTTCCTTCCACTGTTCCCCACCCTCCTCTACTCTGGGAGGCTGGAGACCCTCCTGATGGAGCCTTTTCTCCTCACGCTTTTCAGGCGCATCCTTGTTACTCATGGCCGAGACCCTTGACTGCACTGCAGTTAGCCCAGCCCTCCAGGTGAGGACATCTTTGGATTCCCATGCTCCTGCTGCCAGAAGATATGAGACCCCTCCCATGCCAACTCTTACAGGATCCCTCCTCTGAATCTCTGGAATCTTCCCTCTGGGAGAAAACGAGGGGTCTCAGTGAGGTGACCTTCGGTCTTGCCTGGAAACAGCCACTCAGGGCAGCTGCAGGGGAGGACGGGAACCTGGGACCAAGACACAGGCCATCTAAAGGAAGTCAGTGGTGGGAGGTGGGTCCAGGCTCAGAAGGGCAGAACCAGACCTGGGAAGCCATCAAGAAATGTGGCTGTCACTCTGCCCCTCTCCTCAGAGCCTCACGTGCTCCCTTGCCAGTTACTTCATTCTTTTCTTCTTTTTGCCTCCCTGATGACGTGGCTGAAAATCGCAGCCCCCATGGTCCCCAGATGTGCATTTCTTTAGTTCAGTGCCTTAAAGAGATTCTGATTGGCCTCCAGGTCGGAGGACTCTACCCCTTCCAGTCTGCTGTGGACAGGAGTCAGGTCACAGAGGGCAGCTGTAGGCCACGCCTGGGAGTGTGAGGAGGCTGTTGTCTGAGAAGGATGTAAGGGCTGGGCATGTGTTCCCAAAGCCATCCCTCAAGAGACCTGGGATTGTGCCCCTTGCTGGGGAGGATGATGGGCCAGCGACGTTCAGAACTTCCACCCGAAATGGCTGAACGAATTAACTCACCCCCATATGGGGGAAATCTACAAACTACTTTTTAATGAATGGCCTCTTCAGAAACTGCTCTAGGGGAAAAGATGACTCTGGTTCTTGCAGCCAAAGTCTGTTTCCCTTTGTACAAAGACTGATTTGTAACACTCACCATAAGCCATTCATTTTACTTTCGGGGAATGAACTCCAGAAGAAGTTCTCTTTCGCAAGCCTATCAAATAATAGGTGATTTTGAGCAAGAGCTTTCATAAGCAGTGTGTCAGGCTAACCCACAGTAATGTGAGACGTTTAGAAAATAATTTGGTTCTCTCTCTTACTTCTGCCGCCCCAGCGAATGGCATGACTGTGAAAAGTGTGACGGGGATGATGACTTCAGAGGCAAGGTTCCCTCTTCCCGGAGAGAAGCCACGCAGTCTGACTTCTCCCAATCAGACCGCATTTTTTATTTTCTTGCTCTCCTTTTATACCGAGGCACTTCGTTTCTTCATTTCATTTTGATTTTTGAGATATAAATCAAAATTCACATACAACGCACACTTTAACAGTATAAAATTCAGTATTTTTTAGTATTCGAAAGGTAATGCAACCCTCACCAATATCCAGTCCCAGAACATTGTCACTGCGGAAAAGAAACCCTGTACCCATTAGCAGTCCTTCCCCAACTGTCCTAGGGAATTACTGATTTATTTTCTGTCTCTATGGACTTGGCTGTTGTGGACATTTCATAAATGGGACCATATACTATGTGATCTTTTGTGTCTGGCTTTTTTCACTTGTTATAATGTTCTCAAGGTTCATTCACACTGTAGCATGAATCAGCATTTCATTCCTTTTTATGGCTGAATAGCATTCCATTGCATGGATAACTCTTTTGTTTTTGTTTTGTTTTGTTTTTTTGATATAGAGCCTTGTTCTGTCACCCAGGCCAGAGTACAGTGGCATAATCTCAGCTCACTGCAACCTCCACCTCCTGGGTTCAAATGATTTTCATGCCTCAGCCCCCTGAGTAGCTAGGATCACAGGCATATGCCACTACACACTGCTGATTTTTTTATTTTTAGTAGAGACGGGTTTTCACTATGTCACCTAGGTTGGTCTCAAACTCCTGGCATCAAGTGATCTGCCCCACCTCAGCCTCCCAAAATGCTGGGATTACAGGCATGAGCCACCACTCCCAGCCTACTCTTTTGGTTTTAAGTGAGAAGCAATTCAAATTATCTTAAACAAACAAACAAACAAACAAAAGAATGTTAGGCCTCACATCACTGAAGAGTCCAGAGGTGTGGCTGGCAGATACCAAAACGATTCCCAATGACCCTCTTCCTTATAAAGCCTCTTCCCCTTGAGTGTGGGTGGAGCGGGAGCTTGTGAATAGGCTACTACTCCTGTGACATCATATGACACTGGGGATTGTGCAGATCTAATTAAGGCTATTAGTTGACTGACTTTGAGGTAATCAGAAGGCAGATTAGCAAGTGAACCTGACCTAATCACGCTAGCTGTTTAATTCTGGGCCTAGAGATCAGAGATAGAAGTTAGGAATTCAAATCACAAGAGTTATTCAAAATGCCATTGGCTTAAAAATGGGGGAGTGACCTGGCGTGGTGGCTCAAGCCTGTAATCTCAGCACTTTGGGAGGCTGAGGCAGGCAGATCACAGGTCAAAAGATCAAGACCATCCTGGCCAAAATGGTGAAACCCTGTCTCTACTAAAAACACAAAAATTAGCTAGGCATGGTGGCATAAGCCTGTAATCTCAGCTACTCAGAACGCTAAGGCAGGAGAGTTGCTTGAACCCAAGAGGCAGAGATTACAATGAGCCGAGATCACGCCACTGCACTCCAGCCTGGCAACAAAGTGAGACTTTGTCTCAAAAAAAAAAAAAAAAAAACTGGAGGGGCCTGAATGCCAAAGACTCAGGAGGCTTCTAGGAGCCGAGAGTGGTTCCTGGGGGACATCTGGCCCGAAGATGGGAGTTTGGGAACCTTAGCTTTTCATGTTTTGTTTTGTTTCTCTGCACTCTCATGTTTATTGCAGCAGTATTCACAAGAGCCAAAATATGGAATCAACCTAAGTGCCTGTCAGTGGGTGAATGGGTTTTAAAAAGTCTTATATACACAATGGGTTATTATTCAGCCATAAAGAAGAATGATGTCATGTCATTTGCGGCAACATGGATGGAGCTACGGGCCATCATTTTAAGTGAAATAAGCCAAGCACAGAAAGACAAATATCACATGTTCTCACTCCCACGTGGGAGCCACAAAGGTGGATCTCATAAAAATAGAAAGTAGATTGGTGTCTACCAGAGGCTGGAAAGGGTAGGGGGTGGGGGCATGAAAGGAAGTTGATTGATGGGCATGAATGCATAGTCATAGAAGAAATATTTAGTATTGTATAGATCAGTAGGGTAACTACACTTTACAATAATCTATCGTACATTTCAGAACACCTGGAAGGAAGAGCCTTCGTCTTGTAACCAAATGGAATTAAATTGTGTCAACAACAGGAACTAGCTTGGAAGCAGATTTTGCCCCTGAGTCAATAAGAACTCAACATCTTGATGTCAGCCTTGTGGGACTCTGAGCAGAACCCAGTACTGGTGGGCCAAACTTCTCATCTACAGAACTATGAGCTAATAAATAGGTGCAGTTTTGAGCCACTAAGTGCATGGTAATTTGACACAAGAATAGAAAACTAACACAAAAGGCCAGCTGCCTTCAGGTACTGCTCCATCCGGGTGCTCAGATGACATTGCGAGGTCTCCCTGTCTCTGTGACTCTCCAGGCTCGTTTGTTTAGTTGGTGCATTTGGAGGATGGCCCTCTCCTTGTGATGATGCCTCCAGGAGCCCCTCTTCCTTCTCCCAGCTTCCCTATCCCAGGGGAAAGGGAGCCTCTTTTACCATTCATAAAACAGCCCTTGGATCGAATTTCATTTGAAGGGTGATTCTCATGAGCTCCTCCCTGAACCAACTGCTTCAGCCAAGGCTGAACCCTGCACTGAACAAGCAGGGCTGGGTCCACCCCACCCACGGATGGAGAGCTGGGGAGGAGTGGCTTTTCCAAAGGGGACTCAGGACCCAGAAAAAGCAGCAGGTGCTGGGTGGGAACACCAGGGGTGTCCCCCACATTCATGCATCTGTCTCTCCTGCAACTCACAGGGCATACCTGTGCCACCCCCTCTGTCCTGGAAGACTCAGTGCCCATCCTCCATAACTCCAGGATGGAGCTGGCCCTCCCAGAGCCCTCACCATGGGTTGTGGAGAATGGCGTGTTGAAGGGACAATGATTCAAGTCCTGATTAGACATCTGGTTGGAGCCCTTACACTGGATATCTCCTCGTCCTCGTCAGCCGTGACTGACTCTTCCTTGTCATTCCTGAGATGGTGGAAGGAAGATTTTTGGAGCATCTGGGAAGGGTCTGGTGAAATGGCTCTACTCTAGACTTTTTGAAAAACTAAAAAATCTCTTTAGGGTCTTAGAGACCCATGAAAGGGAATGACTTCAGTGTAACTGGATGAAGACAAACTTAGGGACTTCGTTGCCCCTGCAGAGCTGGGTCTCGGAGCTTTCATGGAGTGCACAGGTGAATATGCAGGCTCTGGAGTCAGACCCCATGGGCTCAGGTCCCAGCTCTGCCTCTTACAGCTCTGCAATCTTGTCTAAGTTACTTTGGCTGTGCCTCAGTTTCTTCATCTGTAAAATGGATCAGATAATAATGCCCACCTCAAAGTGTGGGTGTGAGGATGAAATGAGCTAACATGTGCTTAGTATGGCACATAGTGAGTGCCTGCTGAATGTGACTAGCCACTAATGCTATCTGAGTGTGCATTTCCCCTGAGATATTTAATATTTATGTCCATTTCAAAGATCAGGAGACTGTGACCAAATGTTCAGTACTTCTGGAAAATACTTCCATTTATGCTGTCTCCAAACTGGCAGCATTAGGAATAAAAGAGGAGATAAATTAGATCGTCCATGATGATTTGCTCTGAACGCCCTCCTCAGGAGCTCTTTACAGCATCACCTCCTAAAGTACAGTGAAAATGTGCTTGGTTGTGTCCTAGCCAAGCCTAGGTAAACAAGGGAACTAACCTACTAGGTTATTGGTCTAAGCATCTCATAATCTACTAGGTAGGACACAAGATGTTCTATCTGTGCTGTTTCTTTTACTGTTATGTCAACCTTTTCGGTATCACATGCATTTTGTGGATAAGTAAACTGAGGTCCAGAGAAGTTAAGTAATTTGCCCAAGGTCACACAGAAAGTATCAGAGTTGAATCTATGATGGTGTGCTTCCAAGGGCCAGATGATTTCAGCTGTACCTCAGTTTTACTTTTTCCCAGAGAAACGAGAGAAGCTGAGGGCACCATCTGTGGTGGATTCATGCTGTGGGATCACTGAATAGTGTCTATATTTGTATTAAGGAGTCATTTTGAAAGAACATTTCTAAGGCCCTCCAATCCGCGGCCCAGTATTTTACCATCATTTGTCCTCAAATGCATTGGGAACCATGTATTCACTCTACATGGTTTAAGAGGGACCATGGCATTGGCCTTTCCTTGTTTCTCAGAATCCTTATTTCATCTCCTCATTTTGCTCCTTTCTCCACAATGTTCTTTTCAAGACTTTGACCTTGAGCCAGAATTAGGTGATAGGTTACATTGTCAGTGGCTGAATGTCTTAGGTTTTCTAAGGCAGTCCTGCTTGTCAACCTTCTGTTCTCAGCACATTTCTGATCCGGAGACCCATGTTGCCTTGGTTATAGCTGGTGGCTTTGGTGACTGCAGAACCACTGCTCTGGAGCCATTCACTTCACAGGAAGGTTGACTCCACCCTGAGTCCCACAGGCCTCTACTGTACCCACACCCCATTGTGTTGGTATGGTCAAAGAAGAGAAGGAGAGAGAAGCTTCCGCAGAGATCTTGCAATGCTCCTCACAAGTGTTCTTTTTGTTTTTAGAGACGGAGTCTCTCTTTGTCGCCCAGGCTGGAGTGCAGTGACATGATCTCGGTTCGCTGCAACCTCTACTTCCCAGGTTCAAGCGATTCTCCTGCCTCAGTCACCCAAGTAGCTGGGATTGCAGGTGCCTGCCACCATGCCCAGCTAATTTTTGTAGTTTTAGTGGAGACAGGGTTTTGCCATGTTGACCAGGCTTGTCTCGAACTCTGACCTCAGGTGATCCACCCACCTCGGCCTCCCAAAGTGTTGGGATTACAGGCATGAGCCACCACTCCCTGCCACAAGGGTTCTTGTCTTTGCTTGTCTCTGCTTTTATCTCTGGGGAAATATCACGTTCACTTTCCATCTTCGTGGAC